CAGTTTTATATTGCTAATTAAAGGGAAATGGGAATATCATTTTAATTGACTCAGGCCTATTTGATCCCTCTTTCATAACACCATCCAGATCCTCTCTGTTTTGTTTAATCCCACTTTTAGATTTACCCTGCCCTGCCAAGTCTATGAAATCCACACAACTTCACTGCAGTTCTGCGTCTGGTGTTTCCCTGCCAAATATTTAGCTTTCAGTTGAGCCAATATTCATAGGCCAGGCAAAGCCTCTGTCTACCATTCTGGACTGTGTGACAAACGATGCTGCTTTATGACTTTCTTGCCAAGTGTAATGCTGATCAGCCGCTGTGCTCCAGATAGTCTGTGAATCTCAATACCTTAAACTACTATGTGGATATCCAATGGACAGAACCTCACAGATTTAAAATTAATTAAGTGTAACATCAATAAATATTGACATTAATGGGATGCATACTGTATCTATACTATTTGATTTTTTTTTCAAACACAAAAATTTTTCACTATGCAAAATGACTTGACCGTTGATCCTTCCTGTTCCTCTTGAGCAGCACCCAGCTGACATTTAATGCAACACCATGGGCTATAATTAATTTTCCAAGGTACGGTGTATTCAATAAACCCCCTTACGCTTGTACCTCTCATTTGTCTAATGCATATGCTATTAGCAATGACTAAGTATTAGGCAAATCTATATTTACAAGCCGATGGGAATGTGGCTGCTTGACGAGCGGGTAAAAGCCAAGGAGGTCAGAGCCGTATGCAAACAATGCGGAAGCAATAGACTGCGATATTCATGCTAATGCTAATACTGATTTGATGATATTGATATATTAGATGGTACCGATTCCTCTTCAGTTTGTCCTGCCACTAAATCTGGTCATGACATTGTTATTTTTTTTTTTCGAGATTCACAGATGTTCTGCATCAGAAGTGTCCTTGTAAGTGTCTTTAAATGTATTTCAGAAGTGCCCACGTTGTGCAGAACTGCAGATGTGAGTCTGATTCACAAGAAGATGTGAAGGAGCAATATTTGCAGACTTTTATATTCTATTAATAGTGATGATGTAATCTACCTTTCCTGATTACGTTTCCCTTCTTCTTGCTCCACGCCATTAAAAAGTAAATACCCGTTCTCATACTGACGTCATCCAGACATATACATTCACACAGAGTCTGATCTATTTTAGTCTGTAAGATGCTGAATTAAACATTCAGATGCATTCTAGGCAGTGAAAAAAATAACATTATCATGCATAACACAACATACTATGTATGTAGGTTAAATATATCAGATTACTGAAGTAAAGTGTGTTACAAATGGCTATTCACTATGGAAGCCTGTTTCTCTCAGGCAGGAAAAAAAAGTTAATAATAAAATAAAATAATTAATAAATAAATAAATAAAGTTATTGTATCTATTTATCTCACAATTGTTTTTTTCTCTCTCTCTTTCAATTGCAAGTTCTCTCACAATTCAGAATTTTCTTAGAATTGCAAGTTTAATTCTGAATATAAATGTCATAATTATAAGTCATTAATATAAAATACTCTTTCATTAAATATTCTTGGTAAATGTATGTAAATCATGATATACTATTATAGTATTTAATATTTTTAAAAAGCTTCTATTTTCTATTTTCATTTTTCTTAAATTTTAAATTTTAGTAATTTTGTTATTTGCTATTGTCATTTTTATTGTTGTTTTTTTAATATGTATATTTAGTTTTAATCGAGCGGCAACCTCCCGGTCTCTCTCGTGAAGCCAACACGGAAGTGACTTAAACTGTAATTCATCGACTGGCCGCTAGAGGCTGGCTGCAAAAGGGAGTCAATCCCATAGACTCCCCATGTTAAAATGCCCAACTTTACAGCAGAAAAAAACATGTTTACAGCCTGGTTCAGAAATAATTTTGGTCTATATAGCTAATTTTGCCCTTCATGACAACTGTGAGGGGGGTGAATTTTTTTATAACTCATCCGTTTAAATTATATTAAGCCTTAAAATTCTGCATAATTAAGGGCGTGGCCACTTGAGTGACAGGTGGATTGCCGCTGCTGTCACCACCGTCGAGCTTAGGTGGGCGTGGTTTCAGCAACCAGCTCCCGCCTCTTTGCCCATCTTCGATTATCCGGGAGTGACGTGCAGTGACGCGCTGCCAAGATGGCGACGGCTGGCTCCGCCTCACGGACACTACGTCCATGTTTTTATACAGTCTATGGTTTTAATACATTTTTATTTCAGTTTTAATAGCTTTGGTAGTTCAACTTTAAGTGAAGTGGCATAAAATAAGTTAATTGTATTAATTATATGAATGTATTAATCAAGGTTTTTCATCTAATATTTCTATTTTAGTTTACTTCATCTTTATTTGAATCAATGAAATATATTTTTAACAGTTTTAGTCTTAGTTTTAGGTAACAACAATACTGGTACTTTTGAAAATTTTGTTGAATTAAATGATAACAATCATATATAGTCTTATATTTTAATTGGGAATGTCAATAGCAATAACATATGAAATCAGAATGAATGATTCCACTTGACTGGTCAATAGATTATGAATAATGAAGATGTTTGAAAGCACATCAAACTGATGGATTATTGAATTAACTCCATGCATTATAATAATTATTTAAATAAATAATAAAAACACCAACAGCAACATGCCACTGGAAGACTTTGGTCTTAATTCTGTCATCTTACCCCAGGGTCTAACTTTAGCTTTTTACTTTTTCAGACGTCAATCAATCAATCAATCAATCAATGCCTGTGTTTCAAATCCGCCATTAATAAACAGACATAAAGTGGGCACAGATGCTGAAGTTCAGATTACAAGTCAATAAAATATGTTGATATGAGATTTAATGACATCTATATCATCTTACCTTATCTTACTCTATTTGTGTTACAGAGTCCATGTTACATATAACGAGTTTCTGCAGTGCTTTACCAGCTAAAGCTCGGTATCTGCAACACTGTTCTTGGCCTCATTGCGGTCCATGTCTCTTTCACACAAAGTGTTAGCAATGAATAAAGCTTTTAGCCAGTGTAATGCATTTGAATATTTCTCAATCTGTGGCCAGTAGAAGTGATTGTGAAGGGCATCAGTAGTCTACGAGCCTCGTCTTATCTGCATGATGTGCATCACAGAGCGGGTTATCCGACCAGGTATAAAATATTACAGTTTTTCTCAAATGCTAAAACACAAAAGCCAATCCTCTAAACCAAATGACCAGTTGTCTAAACACATTTACTAAATCTAGCCATCATTCAAAAGTTTAATAATATTTCCATGCACCAGCTCTGCTCTAAAGTACCTGTGCTGCTCTTCCTACTAGCTTACCTTAAAATGCTGATTTATGCTTTTACTGAAGTGGGGCTCAAGCACGTGTCCTATCTTCGGTAGGCCCTGTATACTTATAAGTGCAATGGATGGCCAGGGTTTGATTCTATTTATGTAGACAGTGAGTCAGATCGCTAGGTTTTGAGAAGCTCTGCTGGTAATTATTTGTAGAGCAGAAAAGCAATGATTTGCTGTCCATCAAGCCATCACGAATCCAGCGTGAGAGTGAGTTTGAGAGTGAACCACAGCTATACAAAAGACATTTAGTTTCATCTGTACATTTGTTGACACAATATCTAGCAGGAATTGTATTAGCCCATGAAAATGTAAAAGCTTTGAAAGGAAATTATATATATATAT